ATTATTACTGTTATTTATTAAGTATGTCATTGTGATTATGCTCGCTGGTGCTATTTAAACTTGTAAAGTCGTCGCTATCGTAAACAGTGAAGAAGTTTCTGGAGGACTTAGTTGTCAAAAGGAGAAAAGAACAGCTTTGCGTTGTTGTTTTGGTTGTTTTTTTTTTGATGCGTAAGCCATCATTTTTTTTTTTTTTTTGATGAATTGAGAAGATAAATCAAATTTTTAAGAAGCAAAAGAATTGATAATTGTAGAATTTAATTGAATTAATAAAGTCAAATGAAAGTATAAGTTAATTTATAGCAGATTATAGTAAGTAACAAAAATTAATATAAATATTTAGAGCACATTCACTATAAAATATTTAATTAAGCAAAATAATTACAATTCGCAATAAATATTTGTGGGGGACAGTATTTAGTTAAGAATTTTGAAATCTTAGATGATTCCCCTGTACATTTTGCAGTCATTTAATGAAATCGAATAATGCATTTCAGACCCTAGCAGACCATGCACCAAAGATATTGACTTAAATAATTTATAATAAAAATTTCAAACATTTTTTCTCTACTTGAAAAAATCGTTTATTAGAAATTTTATATTAATTTTCGCTGTATATATGAAATTATGGCATTAAGCTATAACTGTATGGCTAAACGTACCTGAGACACATTAGTGGAGTTAGCAATCGGCGCCCAAGGATCCGGATTCATAGTCAAAGCAAAACTCTTTTGCTGTTTAAGCTGGTTAATGGGCGGTACCTGTAAATAACAGTAAAAAAACGGATAGGTTAATTTTTTATAGCTTTCAGTAGCTTTTGAGTATTTGTAACCAATCTTTTATTCTATGCAAATATAACACAAGCGAATATTACATAAATGACTCACCGCAGGCTGTTGTTGTAGGAATAGATTTGTTTTTGGTGGTACAACAGTATCGCTAAATGGATTGTAGGCAGCATTGCCAGCTTGTCACTGCGTTTGCACGGGCTTTATTAGATTATCCAAGTTAACTAATGACGAATTTTCACCTAAACATGATTGCGGTGTTTTCAGTTATTTGCTCGTAATCAGACAGAGAATCCATTTCATCGCGTAGTGATGCTGTGTTGAAGATACAAAATGATTTCAGTAAATTGTGTGGCGCCCAATGGTGGACTTAAAATACTCGTGGCGAGCAGAGAAATGTTCAGCAATTCTAACAGATGTGATTGTGACTCTTCCTCTTTAGGCACCGGCAGCTGGAACCGTTTGATCTCTGGAATAGTAGACAAATGAAAGAATTTTGGAATGGCGGCAGACAATAAATGTACACACTTGAAATCTTGTTCGCTCTGGCTCAGCGCAAGTTGTAGACGCACATCAATTCTTTCAATAAATTCCTCAGCTGCTTAGCCTTTTCAGGGGCCAGGTCTTAACTCGCTTCAAAGTACACGAATTCAC